CTTTCATTTTTTTTAAAATTAGTCTGACTTGCATTGAATTGATAGGCTAATGAGGAGATGTGGGTTAGAATAGCAATATCATTATGTATGTGAAAATCATGTATCATTCTAGTAAAATTTGATTATATTAAAACGGTTTAATCCAAAAAAAAAATCACGAAGGTACAAAACCTGATATGAATGTCTTTTCGTTGTTACTAATAAAGGATATTCTTCACAAATTTAAATCTTTGGTCATTAATGGAAAAGTTTATTTCATTCTTTTTCATAATTGATCAGTGTTTCTTTCTTCTTATATAAACCACAATATAAGGGCAGCATTACCTGTTAAATAGTCACATTCTTGTTCTGATAATAGAAAACCAACTTTTTCTACTGATTGGATAATCCATTTAATTTTTTTCATTAATTGATTATATAGGTAAATATATAAAGAAACCCTTCATTAATTTGATACTTAGAGGAGCTGAACTAAAAATAAATGCATAAAAATGAAAAAAAATATTGCCATCAGCCTAAGCCTTTGCCGTTAGAAGTTAGAACAATGCATAATAAATAGGGTTGAATCGAATCAATAGTTTGTCACTGAATGCTCTATGCGGTAAAGATAATATTGCCCTTTTAGAGGGTTTAGATTCGAGCAAGTAGATTTTATGTTTATTGTCATATGTTGAAAACTTTTCAACAAATAGTATTTTATAATCACCCAAACTATTCAAAATTAATTAATATTTAAGAATTAATAAACATAATGAATTATTTTTATATAATATAAAATATTTTTATTAAATAAAATTAAGATAAAGTCTGCACACGTCCAACTAGACCAATTTCCTGACCTCCATAAATAAGTTGATTTTTTATTTATTTTCCCTTTAATATACTTTGGGTGTAAGGTTTTAGATTTGAATGGATAACTAAGACAAGAAAACAGATGTAATTTATTTTTCTCAAAAAAAAAGTTTAAAAACAATATATATTTTTTATATTTCCAGAAATATATATATATTTTTACACAAATTTCAACATCTGAAATGATGTATGAACAAATATATTAAACAATTCGATCACTATATAAAAGATTTACATGATTCATATGGGAGGTTTGTTGCTGCTGGAAAAATCTGGGCAATGTAGATACAATTTTGAAGAACGAAAACAAATCTCAAACAAATTTTTAATAGAAAATAAATTACATTCCTAGGAACGACTGTCTTCACCTGCCTCTTCGTCCATCCCGGTTGAGGGTCTATAATTTAACATTCCTCTACAAGGCGCTTTGAACAAGTATGTGAAGGATGAATTGAACAACTACTGTCCTCTGCTACAAGCATGTGTTTGGATGCAAATGTCGTTTATAACCCCACTCCTGTTTCTTTCCCAGGCAAGATTGTAAAAAATATTATTATATTTGAAGTTTTATAACGTGATTGTTCATAGTGAGTACAGTCTTTACTAATAACTCTCTAGGTATCAAAATCTAACGTCTAATATTGACGCTCAAAGAACCTTATTGTAAAATCATCTCCCCAAGTTGAGGCTTTATTTAGAAAATTCTGAATTGTCTCGATGGTACTGACTCTCCGGCAGCCTCTTGGCAGCCCCCCGCCTAATTCCGACAATACAAAGAAGGTGAGATTCAAGGATCTTGAGCCGGATCAAGGAGTGAATCCAGCGTTGGAATCAGAAACGACTGAAGTAATGCAAGTAGTTGTCGTTGGCGAGATAACTAGTACCTCAAATTAATTAATATATTTACAAATTTCAATAATTAAAGGACCGGAATAAATAAAAATAAGAAATAACTAATGCTTAAGAAATCAATTAATTTGACAAAGAATGCTCATAGGTACCGATACCACTCGTGAGGTATCAATACCGTTTTACATTTAAAAATCTTGAAAACTTATCATAAATTTATGGCATATGATATTTGTATGCACGTATCGATATCAAAATGATACTCATATGAACCTATTAATACCTGATATCTATACCATACATTAAGGTATCAATACACATGCATAATTTGACCTCTTTAAGCCACAAGAAATCTCTAAACACTATATTAAACATCCAGCAATCTCTAAGGAAAAAACTTAACATAAAAAAATACATCCAACATAGATCAAGGGATATCCGATATCCCAACAAGCAAAGCACATACAAGAGTATGCTCATTCACTTGGACTTAAAACATACCAAATTTACATTCAAACTAACATTCTAGTTCATTTTATGAATTTACTAAATATGACCATTAGTCATCGTAACTTGGCTTAGTTACTATTTTATCATTTAAATTATGCATAATTTCATTCATTACTCATGTAACTTACCTATAAACGTGAAAAGCTAAATCATACACGATTTTTTACCACAAACACTTTGGATAACATATATTGTAACGTCCCGGATTACGGATTAGGAGTTTTGACCCAAATTGAGATGGATTTGGGCTTGAGCCAAGCTCAATGAAGAGTAAAAAGGGTGGTTTAGTATGCAGTCAAAATCAGAGGGACCAAGGAAGTATTTTCACCATTAAAGATTTCAAAAGCTGAATAGTTCTTAATTATAGGTGATATCACGTTGTTTCCTCCCTCTTTTCTCAACTCTTCTTTGTCTTATTCTCTTCTCTTCATCTCCTTCTTCTTCAAGATAAGCCTAAAGGTGAAAACTTTATAGATTTTCATCTATTGCAAGGTTAAGCTAAGGTAAGAACCATAATGATTTTACTTTCAGCTCCAATTCAAGCTCTCATTTGTGAGTTTTTTGTGAAGGAAAAACCAAAAATGGGTTTAGTGGAGGTTTTAGAAACCAAAGTATTTTCTAATTTGTTTTGGGGAGATTTAGGTCTCTTAGAACGTTTTAAATTCTCCTCTAATCATCCCAACAACGTTAGTAATTTTTATGTTTGATTTTGTCTAGTGAGAGAAGTTGGGGAAAGCTCTAAAGCAAGGGAAAAGAGAAGTTCACCTTGGGTTTACCTTTGGGCACCCTTAGCAGCCTAGAATCATCAGGTAACTCACTTATAACTTATCTATACCACTTGTATCTCATTTAGATAAGATTAGTATGTTGCATAAGCTTGAAGCATGATCATGGTAGATTGCATAATTTGAGTGTTTTCAGCATGCTTACAGACTCTTTATGACCCATAATATCAAATAAAGCACTTAAGCATCAATTAGTGACCTCAATGGGGAAGTTTCGGTAGAAAGATAAGATTTTTCAAGGCATCCAGTAGTGACAGTATCGATATTGTTCTTCATTCAGGCAGAAAGTAGACAGTTTTATAAGGGTAATATCGATACTCATTCATTGAGTATCGATAAAAGGGTAGGAGTATCGATACTCTCTATAGGGGTATCGATACTAGGGGTATTTTTAAAACATCGAATCCAATTTTGGTATCGATACTCAGTCTAGTATCAATATCTAACACTAGAGTATTGATACTTAGCCTAGAGTATCAATACTCAGCCTAGAGTATCGATACTACTCTCATCAAGCAACCTCATCCAACCACATGTTATCGATACCAGCTAGTGGGTATCGATGCCAAGGGTCTAGTACCGATACTGAAAGGCTAGTATCGGTATCCACGAGTAGTTTTGGATAAATAATCTAAGGATTAAAGAATCAGACTCGAGGTACCATAAATACACTCTAATATAATAAATAAGACTTCAAGCGAGAACAGTAAAAATAGTAATAACTAGGGTTACATAAAACTAGCCTTGTTTGACATTTGAAAACATCCAGGACACCCTAGTTCCTCTTTAGCAGAACATGACAGTCAGTGGATAGCTAAGTTAGTTCAAAGACACTTCAAAAATTGATTGGGCACAGATGCCCCAAGACTCGATGAAGTAAGTTGGCAGGTGTACATTTTCGATGCAGCTTCGGATCTCACCCTGGATACCCGAGGGTATCTCAGAAAGGCTAGAGGGGTGCACATGCTCCGAGATGCATATCCCTCAATCGCACCATGAGGCCTATTCAGTAGTTAAATCAGTAGCTTTGCATGTTTGGACATGTGTCATCAGCCATCTCATTTAGTGAATTCATGTAGTATAGCACAATTATTAGTGAGGAAATGAGCTCGTAAGCTAAGTGTTCAGAATGTGTTTCCGTACGCAAATTCTTAGGGAAAGTTCGAGGGGAGTTAACATCACCATACATTCCAGTGCAGTAGACCAGACTATCAGAGTGCATCTTGAGTCATTTGTAGAGGGCATGTACTATTTATGAACCATGTGTACTATTCAATCATAACTTTGATTTGAATTTGGTACTGTATTGTTTTGGATTTATTTTAGGAGCTCCCCATTGTTTTATAAACTCATATTATTACCCTCATTTTCCTTTTACTATTATGGATGATCTATTTCAGTGATTTATTAAGCAGTTTTAAAAGAAATTTTTTGGTCAATATTTCGGTAGTCCCGTGTAACATTGTAATCCATGGATCTTTGGGTCAAACCATATTAGGGTGTTACATATATACATACTATAATTTAAAATAGCAATCAAAACCTTAAAATGGAAAAACATAACTAATTTAATGTATGTATGTATGTATGTATGTATGTATGTATGTATGTATGTATGTATGTATGTATGTATGTATGTATGTATGTATGTATGTATGTATGTATGTATGTATGTATGTATGTATGTATGTATGTATGTATGTATGTATGTATGTATGTATGTATGTATGTATGTATGTATGTATGTATGTATGTATGATGTATGTATGTATGTATGTATGTATGTATGTATGTATGTATGTATGTATGTATGTATGTATGTATGTATGTATGTATGTATGTATGTATGTATGTATGTATGTATGTATGTATGTATGTATGTATGTATGTATGTATGTATGTATGTATGTATGTATGTATGTATGTATGTATGTATGTATGTATGTATGTATGTATGTATGTATGTATGTATGTATGTATGTATGTATGTATGTATGTATGTAT